CCATTGAGGTTGATATGCCGTAAAGCATAACAAACCAAACCAAACCATATACTGCAACCGCAGTAGAAGTAGTGTTTCTTGGGCAAGATAGACCAACCATTTTTTAATTCAGTGTTACCTTCCTCTAGACCAGTTGCTATCCAAGGCTATAGAATCCAGTCTGTCCTGCTATTACCCTTAGCTGGGAAATATATATAGGATTAATACAAATAAAATTTGACACTTAGCTGGTGTATATATATATATATATATATATACTAGCAGCATGGCCCGGCGTTGCCCGTGCTTAATTAAAAAATCGTACGACTAATACAGCAATCGCTATCACTTGACTTAAAATATTTTTTGCCCTTCCTGCCTTTTTTTAAAGGAGTGCCCTTTGCCGTGCTGATGTTGCTACATGCCTTATTTCTTGCCTATCTCACACTGCGAATTTTTTCTAAGCTCTATACTAAACATTAAATCTGTTACGAAAAAAGAACTAAACAAAATGAACACAAAACGATCAGCTTTAAAAAAGGACTCATAACTGGAAAAACCGAATGAAAAAAGAACGTTAACAACAAATACTTTTTCACACCCAACCCAGTTCTGCGGAATCAGAATCAACGTTGAGTTTAAGCAAGCGAATGAGCCAATTGGAGTAAAGTGCCATGCAGATTTAAATTTTTCCCACTTGTGACGAATGCAGCTATCGATTTTTTTTGCATGCTAGCATGCTAGTTAACATTCGTGTCAGTCAGCTGTTGGCTCTCACGCTGGCCAATAGAATCTTCCTGCCTATTCGTGGCAGCCAACTATAGGCTCTCACTCTGGCCAGTACAAAATGGCCGCAAACTACATGAAAACTACCGTAGAAGCATGAAAAAATCGATTATTTCCACTATCGATGGGAGTTGGGAAATGCAACGTCGGTCTTGGGCTTCCCGCTAACTTGGAGCATGTGCATATAAATTTTGGTGCAAATCCGTCGAAAATTGCGGCCGTGCATTCGTTACACACACACGCACATCCTGCCTTTTATAGATAGAGATGATGGACTCCCTATTGATCCGACAACTTCATTCAATTTTATTGTAGTTTAGTTTGTGCCGTATGTGACACTTCAGTCCCGCTAGTGACCTGCAGTCCATATATTGAGCAACAGTGAGGATCTCCGAACATAGACACAGGAATATTTGCTGATTCCGTTGTCTTTCGTCTCTTGGCTGGTCAATACACCTAGTTTCAAAATTTCTGATACGACTGTTATTTATAACTGTTCTCCAGTTATTTATATCCGTATTAAACAACATTTACCGGCCTGAATGTTCGAGATATTTTCACAGAAAATATTCGTCCTGCGACAGGATTCGAACCTGTATCCTATACGGAACCGTCATTTAGCTTGACGTGCCTTAACTGATTTGGCTACAGAAGAGCGTTCGGTTAGCAAGGTCGAATTTACTGTCTTTAAACTTCAATCTTCCATGAATCTCTCACGTACATTCATATCTGCTCAAAGCGCATTCAAATGTAAAATATAAAAAGAATGTATAAACATAAAAATGTCTTAAAATAATTGTCGGACTTTGTCCATTTCATAATGTGTGACGTCATTTGTTTACGTTACGTGTCTTAAAATATATATATATATATATATAATGTGTATATATATATTTATATATATGAGCGGTACTTATTGGAAAGCGCTCAATACCAGTGATAAGGCTAACATATTTAGATGGATTGATGTGAGTTTGTGACTCTGGGTTTCACGCTCTCTGCGATCGTCAGACAAACTGATTAATTTTTAAATTTGGGATTTATTTATGGTTGCGTATATCGATGTTTTATGGTAGTGGGAAGAAAAAAATGTCGTCGGAACGCCCCTAAAACGTACGCAGACATACATACACGCATATATATTTTTTTTTTTTTTTTGCTAGAAAAACCAGGAGTTGTACATGGTGTTTGTGAAATTGACGAAGGCCTTTGACACTGTGAATCGAGAGGCAAGTCTTGAGGAAACTCGGCATCCCAGAAAACATGCTAAAGGTGATCATCTCCTTTCATGAAGGTATGATGTCAGCATCCTTTGATGTCACGAACGGCACCAAGCAGGGGTGTGTCATGGCCTCTATCTTTTTTGCCTCTTCTTCTCGGTGATGCGGAAATACACATTCACAGACACAGAGAGTGGCGTCAAGTTTCAGTTTCGAACAACTGGGGAACTCTTCAATCATCACCGCTTCAAAGTCAAGACCCACCTTCATACACAAATTATCCGTGATTTGTTGTTTTCCTGATGATGCTGCTCTTGTTGCGACATCCTTTGAGGAGGCCCAACATCCAATAAATCATTTCTCTGCTGCATATAAATCCTTTGGTCTTACACTTAGCATAAAGGAAACTGAAGTAGTGCACTAACCTTGTCCTACTCCGAAGCAATTCTGTGGTGAGAAACAAAAACCACCAGTCTGCAAATTACCAGAGAGACCATTGAAAGTAGAAGACAAAC